AAGGCGCCTAAACTTATCAAGCACACCGCATGCGGGGGAGGGGGCCTCGAATATTTTTTTAATAAAATATAAGAAACAAAAAAGGTATGATACTGCATCATGCATCAAAATATTCGCATGCTTGTCGCATGCCCGTGGGCTGATAAGTTCATCTACACGCATTTTAACCCCTGCGCTTCCATGCGACATGCTTCGCGTAGAAGACGACGCCCGTAGCAGACGACGCGCGAGCGCTCCGATGACGCGATGCGCACGATGAGAGCATAATTCCTCAGCAGGCGCGATGCGCATGCGCTGGAACTTGCGCGCCGGGCCGTTAGGCTGCTCTGATAGTACCCGCTGCCACGCGCTCCGGCGTTCCCGCTAACTGTGATCAAGGTAGTACGTACAAGTGACCTCCGGTCATTGACCGCTGGGAATTCGCATGCTCACGCATTCTCTCGTTGACGCAGCGTCCCGATTGTTCTATGTAAACCCGTCCGCATGACAATGGAATTTTGTAGATGACACCCACAACGCAATCCACAAACTTGTTGACATGCTTAACCGTACATGACATCTTGTTACTGCTTGCCTGGTTTACGCGCGGGCAAAGTTGTGCCAATTTTTGAGGCGCTGAAAAAACCATTGGCACATTGAACCGGTTAGCCACTTTTTTTATTAAATTATGTGAAACCTTATGTAATTATGGGACAACCTGAGGTCTTTGTTCAGGCTTTGCTTTTGGTTCCTGAGAACCGCTCTTTACTCTTTTCAAGAGTGTCTGAGAGGCACCAAGCAATACGGAAAGAGGAAATCCTGCTCCTAAAAAGATGCGACCAGCCAGGCCGATACGGAAAGAGGAAATCCTGCTACCAAAAAGATGCGACCAGCCAGACCTACCCAGGGTGGATTGACTATCTTGGGTGACGTCGTTGTACCTGAAGATGTTGCGAGGACTCTTTCAAAAGGACCAAAATACAGTGTAGAACCGCGCATGGAACCACATGAACTTATAGCCTTAGTGCGAGAAGTGTCTGCAAAAGCCCCTGCTGAGGAAAGGAACAGGTGCACGCTAGAAGGGGTGGATTGTCTGGCGCGGTGCGCTAACAAAAGGTCTTCTAACCCCACGGGGAACATGTTAGCAAAAGTAGTCTCTTTTTTCCAGTGTAACGACCTTGGGTTGCTGCAGGCAGACAAGGAGGGAGGTTTTGTGGTGCTGGCGAGGGACACACTGGACCTAAAAGCACGTGATGCCATTTGAAGAAATTTTAGACCAACTCCACTCGAACCAAAAAAGGTCAAAAGTGCCGCCCTAAAACTGTGCAATAGCCTTGAGCTGTCACAGTTGGAAAACAGCATAAGAAAGTTTAAGACAGGTAACTTGGAGGCGTTCTTTTCGGCAAAGACCCATAAGCCTGACACGCCTCTTCGGGCCATTGTCACGGAGAGAGGATCTTGGCAAGAAATGGTCAGCTGTTACCTGCAAAAGCATCTGAGTGCTCTGGAGCTTCATGATCCCTTTCTTGACAAAAACTCGCAGTCCCTCATTGCGTCCTTTAGTAAGGACGTTCCCGACAACTCAATGGCGTTTTCAGTCGATGCGGAAGAACTCTTTTACTCTGTGCCCCACAAATACTTGTTCCTGGCGGTGCGTGAGTGCATTGAAAAAAATGGTGTTGTTGCCTTCCAGAATGCCAGTGGAGTGGGGATTGACGGTTTTTTGGAACTCATAATGTTATACTTGCAGTCCACCTTTGTCCTTTTTGACGGAAGCTACTATGTACAGAGAAGGCATTTGCATCGGCTCGAGCGTTGCTCCGGTGCTATACGACATTTACCTAGCGAAGTTCGATAGGTCTTTGGAAACGGCATTGTGTCAACAGGTGTGCAAGATATACAGATATGTTGACGATTATCTGGTGTTCTTAAGGAGTGTCGGCAGATTTTCTTTGCAAAAGGTTGTGGATGATGTAATGACCGTTTTCAAGCGCTGCTCTTCCGGCCTAAAGTTCACTTCACGAACTGCAAGACGGTCAGTACATGCAGTTTTTGGATTTACGGCTGCAATTCACTGGGCAACATGTGTGTTGGCTCTACAACCCGCGAACCAAGAAGGAAATCCTGCCATACGATTCCGCCCACTCTAAACTTGTCACACAAAATATTGCCACGTCATGCCTCCAAGCTTCACTGTACAGGTCCTGTCACCATGCCATGCTTGACAGCTATGAAGCTCAGGTCAAGCGACTTTTAGGAGCAGGATTTCCTCTTTCCGTATTGCTTGGTGTCTCTCAGACACTCTTGAAAAATGTCAAGAGCGGTTCTCAGGAACCAAAAGTAAAGTCTAAACAAAGGCCTCAGGTTGTCCCATATTTACATAAGGTTTCAGATAATTTAAAAAAAGTGTCTAACCGGTTTAATGTGCCAATGGTTTTTTCAGCGCCTCAAAAATTGGCACAACTTTGCCCGCGCGTAAACCAGGCAAGCAGTAACAAGATGTCATGTACGGTTAAGCATGTCAACAAGTTTGTGGATTGCGTTGTGGGTGTCATCTACAAACTTCCATTGTCATGCGAACGGGTTTACATAGGACAATCGGGACGCTGCGTCAACGAGAGAATGCGTGAGCATGCGAATTCCCTGCGGTCAATGACCGGAGGTCACTTGTATGTACATTGCAGAGACTGCCTGTGTCACCCCGTCTTCCAAAATACCTTAATCATTGGCAGGGGGCGCACAAAAGTGCAAAGAGAGGTGCTGGAGGCGCATGCTATCGAAAAAGCTGGCGCGGGGCACTGCGTCAGCCAACCTTCTGTTTATCTTCACAAAAAAGAAATAAATTTTATAGATGACTGGTGAGCGACACGCCATTGGCTGTTTCGGCGTTGGTTGGCTGTGTGGTGTTTTCTTGTTTGAGCCGTTTTAATACAACTTCAGTTGATAGTCAGCGCTTGTCTTGTGCTCTTCTCTCGTTGTCTTCGTCTTTTTGCGCGCTGTTTCCAATTTCCAAAGTCATGAACCAACTCGCTTGCATCGCCACCTTAATACGGCTCTAGCTTCCAGCGTACATCGGCATTGCGCCGTGGCCAGATTTTCTCTGTCAGATCTAACTTAAAGGTGACCTACAGATGCAGCAGCTGGTACACATTTTTAATACGGCGGCCTCCACGGAGCGCCGTAAATTCTGAGCAGGGTGCATAAAACGCGATCCAAACCAACGCTTCTTTTTGCGCCTGTAGGTCGTGCGGCTGCGGATGTGACGCATTTCGTGGCGTTTTTGCTGTTTCCGGGCGCGCTTTCTGTGTCAGAATCGTGCGCTTTGGTTTGGACGGGCGAAACTTCGGGCGAGCGCGCACGCGCGCACGCAGGCACGAGCGCACAAGCACAGTGCAACTGCGACAGACTGGCCGGCCAGACGGCGAGAGAAAGAGAGAGAGAGAGAGATCGCGTTGTCATGTTGGAAGAGAATAAAAGGGGGGGAGGAGAGGGCAGCCAGACGGCGAGAAACGCGGAGCCGGAACTAGCTTGCCCTCCACCGATTGGCCGGGACACAGGAGCGCCCTACTACTTCACCGCGCGTTTTTGTGCGCGTTGAGAAAGAAGTTGAAATTATCCAACTTTCTTGTGCGTGCCCGGAAGGAGCAAAGAAGTGGCGCGACGTCACGAAAATACGTCACATCCGCAGCCGCACGACCTACAGGCGCAAAAAGAAGCGTTGGTTTGGATCGCGCTTAAGAAGCGGCGGCACCTTCGCTGCCTTCGCTTGGAATCGAAGGGTTGAAGCCAAAACAAAACCAACTGCAATATCACGAGTTCAGATCGAAAACACGCTTTGTATATCCATTTTAACTTGTTAGAACGAGTAATTAGGCAGATAATTTTATTTGTGGTATGTAAGAAACTATTATCAAGACCCCTAAAATAAATACAAACATGGACGACATGAGGGAAGCCGCATTGCCATCGACCAGAATCAATGGCAGGAATGGCAGCGAGCGCGGTAAGCGCGGGGTTCGCCTTGTCCCACGACATGGCGTAATTGCTTTTGGTCCATATCTATCTCCGAGACATGTTTCTTTCCGCGGCATTTGTCTCCACGGTCCTTGCTAGGTATGTCCCCAAGCATTCCGGTGCTTCGATAGCCGGCAGTGCTGCGGTCGTCGTCGGGGGTGAAGCGTGTTTTCGAGGTCGGCTACACGGATATGCGTGTATGACCGAACCCAAAACACGTTTTTTACGGGAGGCACTCACTTGATCGAATGACGTTTTAGCGAACACCCACGTTTCTCCGAATGACACTTTAGCGAATAGTCGGACGCCGCGAAGCGGCGTTTTCGGGTTGTCCAAATGGGTTCACAATTTTTTAATTAGCCGCCGCAGACTGTCGCCGCGAAGCGACGTAAAGCGCAGCGCGGCGGATGGGTTAACGCGTGCCCCGGTTATTCGCTAAAACGTCCATTCGCTCATGTGATATGGACCCGTTTTTTAACACCTCGCATGATTTTTGAACGAATTATCCGTTACTCAATGTTTAAATTTGTGGTAATTTGTGTAAATAGCGTGTTTTTACCCCAAATATTCGCCAAATACACTACTAATTTAAGTCCATGGCTAAGGTTGCGGCGAAGGGTGGTGTTATTAACCGCTAAAACTAATGATTAATCTTTTCGCGAACTATGAAGCATGTTACAAAAGAAACATGTATCTACAGCGTCTGTTTTTGCGTGAGACAGTGCGCGATTGCATCCGCTGGAATTTCAGGAATAAATAGCGGTAGAGCAGTCATAAATCCTGATTTCAGCATATTATGGAGAACGATCAAATGGGGTTTTTTGAAACCTTACAGATTCTTTTGCGAAAAAGTAAACGCACTTATCTTTTTGATAGTGTAGGGTGCGCACTCAGCGTGCAACACAGTAAAATATACATTTAGGCGAAGTATGCGCTGGAAACTTAAAACTTATTGCAAATAATAATTATATATATGCCACTTCATTATGTCATTTTGTTTTAAATAGCTGAACCTCCAGGTGACAGATGCGGTGCGAGCCTTGTCAAGGGTGGAGGAATAGTTGGAGGACGGAATGCCACTGAAGGTGAATTTCCCTGGCAGGTAAGCGCACGAAAACCTGTATCGGACGTTGTTTTGACGCGGTGTCTGTCATCTGCCGCTGCGATAAGAGGTGTCAATGCTTGTTTTACTGTTTAGAGTGTTGGTCACAATATACGTACGCTTCTTCCTACCGGTTTGGTATCGAAATGGGAAGAGGCTGACCGACGATGCGTATACAAAACGAAAACAAAACGCTGAATGCGTAGAAGCGAATTAATCATTCTGTTCAACGTACTAGGCGAATACAAAATAAAGACAAAATTCGAACACCAACAAATTCATATCATCTTTATTGTTTCATCTATTTTTCTCAGAAATAATGAAGGACCGAGTACTTGTAGCTGCACGCAGTCCCTGAAATACAGAAATCACGTTCATACCTCTTAAATACATCAATATGTCTACCTATCCCGTAGGGAAAGGCGAAAGTGAAAAATACGTCTATTTAGTCACTGGCAGGTTAAAACGCTCAGAGTGGGATGTCCTTACGCTTCTTGCATTGCGATTTGTTCTTAAGCGGATTCAGAGGTAATAAGATGCTCGGCACTTCCATGTCTTGAGTTTCTTAAACTGTTATACCCGGTGTCGGAACACTGTGCTAGAGGACGACGATGCTGGCACAGCAGCCACAGAACGCGCGCACACGCGGAACGCGCGCACTCGCAAGCTCGTGATCTGCCGACCGGTCGCAACGGCCGGACCAGAATAAATACGAAGTATTCGGCGGTAGTCTTTCTGCCTACTCGAATACAACACTGGCCACAGAGGCATGGTTACAATGAAGAGCGCTGCACGCGGCTACGTGTGGTGGCCGGGCATAGACAAGGACACCGAACGAAAGGCAAGATCCTGCGTCACTTGTCTGGAACACCAGCGATCCCCACCTCAAGTACCTGTCCCAGACTGGCATCGTGCATCCCAGCCATGGGAACTCATCCACGCTGATTTTGCCGGTCCTCTGGAAGGTAAAATGTTTTTATTCGTAGTGGACGCCTACAGCAAGTGGCTGGAGGTACGCCAAATGAAGAACATACAATCAAGTTCAGTAATCGAACAGTTTCGAAATTTATTTGCAACGTTTGGACTGCCGGAGAAGGTAGTTACAGATAATGGAACATCGTTCGTATCACAAGAGACAACCGAATTATTTAAGGAAAACGGAGTTAAGCACAGAACAAGTGCGCCATACCATCCTGCCACCAACGGTCAGGCCGAAAGAATGGTGCAAGAAACGAAGCGTGCACTGGCCAAAGACAAAACAGGAACTCTGGCATGCAGGATCGCCCGGTTTCTTTTCAAGCAGCACACCACCACAAGTGTAACTACAGGCAAGACACCAGCGATGATGATGTTCGGTCGAGAGTTAACAACTCAGATCACTCGCCTGGGTCGCCTCGAAAGCGAGCAAAGGGGGAACACGGAAGAAAGGAAGGAGCAACAGTCTTTGTCTCCGAGGGGCCTCGCGGTTGGCCAAGACGTCTTTGTAAAAATATTTACAGGAACACCAAAGTGGATGCCAGGAACCGTCACAAAGAGAATTGGATCGCGTTCTTGGCTGGTCGCTACCGAGCGAGGTACAGTTAACGGCACGAGGACCACATCAGCAACCGAATTGAGAAACACGCAGAATATCCGGTGGCCGAGACCTCTTCGAGGGACATTAGTGGGAAGCCGGCTCCAGGTATTCTACCGCAGTGGACTATTGCGATAAATAGTGAGCCCACAAACTTCGAACGAAATGCTCCAGGCCCAGAGACTCTTGCACATCCCGACTCAAGCATTGTGCCTGCACCATCAAGATCTCTACGCCCAAGACGGTTGCCTCAGCAACATGGTGACTCTCTCTAGGGGGGAGAAGTGTTATACCCGGTGTCGGAACACTGTGCTAGAGGACGACGATGCTGGCACAGCAGCCACAGAACGCGCGCACACGCAGAACGCGCGCACTCGCAAGCTCTCGATCTGCCAACCGGTCGCAACGGCCGGACCAGAATAAATACGAAGTATTCGGCGGTAGTCTTTCTGCCTACTCAAATACAACATAAACATAATAATCTTATTACATGGTGAGTTCCATCTTATCGCTCCACAGCCGATGATGGCTTTTTTATTGGCGTTAGCCGACCAGCAAGCCAAAGAACGAAGCAAGAAGTGTTATGATAACAAGCAACGCCCTGCGTTTCTTTGGCAGTCGGTGAGTGAATTTTTGTTATTTCTCGTTGTACGAGTAACTCGCGTCGGACTATAGAAAAGTAAAAACTCGGTCAATCTAGTCCGACAGAACTTGCAGTTGTTCCGACACGTCGGTTATTTTATAATGTCATATTCCGAATAAATCGTGTCTTGTAAATGCGAAATCCTGTTGACACGAATGCTCCGCTGTATAGGCATCAATTTCGGGGACGAATTGGGCTAGCGCGTCATTTTGTGTCTGGTTATTGCCAGCAACTCACATAATGACAGTTTGTGGGGGGGGGGGGGGGGGGGGGGAGAGATGTTTATAGTAATGAGACTATTATCCGGCACTCTGTACCACTGCAGGTGTCTCTCCAGAGGAAGAACTCCAGAAAGCATTTTTGTGGGGGATCAATCATCAAACCAGACATCATTGTGACCGCAGCGCATTGTCTACGCAGGCACGTATACGCTCTCCTTGATGAGAAAAGTGTCATGAGCAGTGTGCCTTCATTTCTAGGAAACATCCAAGGCATATAGTAGTCCAGGCTGGGCTTTTGGACCTCGATAACCCGCCCAGCTACAGCCAACTGCGCGATGTAAGTACCACACCGTTAAAAAATCACGGCATTTGTTATTAGAGTGTTCAGTAAGTTTTGAGGTTTTGTACAACCGAGACATATTGTACAAGCAAGAGTCAATTAACCAGTCTGCTCACCAACAGGTGAAGTTATAGTTGCTCTATACTCATTGTCACGTTAAGAAAATAGGAAGGTTTGAGCATTGTTATTGCGTTGCGCGAAGTAGTTCTTACAATATTTAGTTTTTGAAGGAAGAAATGATGCGTTTAGCGTTTGAATCGTCCACGTCTTGATAAAATACAATAAAGCTAATCTAAAATGCCCCTACATATATCTTTATTCAATACATAACTCGGCAAATTCGTAACGTTCAGCGAAAGCCGCCTTTTTTTTTTACTACAGTTCTAGAGATGAAAGTGAGTGCAGGCGCAAAGAGATCTCGGAGAGGAGTATTGAATAGCTGTCAATAATTTATACATACCGAGACAAAATTTAACCGGACAGTGATTAAACTAGTCGCTTCTACTGAGAACACGAGACATATTAGGAACAACTCTGCTTAATTCGTCCCTCTTCTGGGGTTAGCGACTGGTGTGGGATGGTCGTTCTAGTCCAGAGCTATTGTTACAAGCGATCCGATAGGTACGTAGCGCGTTACTAGTAACGACTAACTTCTAGATAGTTAATTTGTTTTGTAACTGTCGTGCCGGAATGTGGCCGGCGGTGGAACGGCACGGCCCACTAGCGACAGCAAGCAAGCAACTGAGCGCCCAGAACCGATAACCAAAAATCATCTTTATTACATGAGACGATGCTTTTTACACGAGTCGCAAGCACAGTGTTTGCAACCCAATTACCGAAAGTGTCCAAACTTGGCACTAATGCCGCTCACAACATCTGCATCCTATAGATTGTCCGAGGAGAGTACCGTACACCTTTGTTGCGAGAAAAAACAAGTCTTACAGATTGAGTCTCTTGGGAGCGACAACCTCTCTTTCAGAACGGGTAGACCAGTACCGTCATCACGAACGCATGGTGGTGATGCCGGACGAGGCACATCACGATGACGGAAGTCGACAGGTCTACCCGAGGCCGAATCGGCGACGGCAGCCGGGGCGGCAAGGGGCGTCGAAGATGCGCACCGGTCGGTGGGAGCGAACGTAGACGGCGGAGCCGAGGTTCGACTGTAGGGCACCAAGTAGCGCCGGTTGTGTTGCAGAACTGCCCCGTTGTCAGTCTCAACGACATAAGAGTTCAGGCGTTGAGCCGGGCTTAAAACAGTGCCCGCAGCCTGTCGGGCTAAACCCAAACTCAAGTGCCCTGTTCAAGCCTTGAAAGCATAAAGGCTCGATGACCGCTGTTGAAGCTTGCTGCCTGTTTTCTAAGGTAGTTGGAGTCTCGGCGGACAATCAGGTCTCGCCCCGAACTAAGAGGCCGTAGCTTTTCCCTCTTCAAGACCCTCGTTCGAAGCTGGTGGCCCATCAACAGCTGTGACGGGTGTAGCCGATTATACCTGGCGTGTCTGTGTAACTGAGGAGCGCCAAGTACGGGTCCTTGGCCTTGCGGACGTGGTTCTTAATGGGTTCAACCATACATTCCACTTCACCGTTTAACTGGGGGAAGTTTGGGCTACTGGTCCCGTGTGCGAAGCCGTAGGAGCTTGCGAACCCGGCGAACAACCGCGACGAAAATGGGAGACCGTTATCAGACCCCGACAGTCTTGGGGATTCCGTGACGAGCAAACATACTCTTCAAAACGTCGATGACCACCCCTGATGTCGTACGTCCTAGCGTCACCACTTCCGGGTACCGGGAATTGTAGTCAACTAGTAGACGAAAGTCTTGGCCGTTCAGGTAGAAAACGGCGGCACCGCGGTCTTCCCACGGAAAGCTTGGGAGACTTGTGCCACAGAGGGGTTCAGCCGGGTTGACTCGGCACGAGGGACATGGCTCACAATTCGCCACGAGGGAAATAATGCTCGAATTGATCTGGGGCTACCAGAATGACTCACGTGCTCTGGACTTCCAGCGGTTGATACCTTGATGGCCTTCGTGGATCAAAGGCAAGTATGGTCGGGCGGAGTGCAGCTGGGAAGACGATACGGGTTTCCTTCAGCAGAAGACCATTGCAGACTGAAAGCTCTTTCAACACGGGTGCGTACTTCGCAATGTGCAAAGGTAACTTTCTCTGGGATGGCCAAGCGCCGTGGCCGAATGGGATGAGCGTACTGCATTACCCGTCAGATGCTTGAGCCATCTTAAGGTCTTCTATTGAAACTGGAAGCACCTCAGAGGAGCCGTTCACGGTTTCTGTTGCGAAAAGCTTGGTGGCATCCAGCGCTTTCAGCGCGACGAGGGCCTTGCAACGGATCCGAGACAGTGTGCTGGCTGTTGCTAGTAGCTTTTCGGGAACGTGCAGCATCCGGTATTGAGACCACATAAGTGTCAGCCGTAACCATTGAGTCCGCGGTGGCAAGACGTACAGCTCCATCCTTCCGAAAAGAGAGACCAATGGCAGATGATGCGCCTCAACATCGACGGAGATGCCTCACACGTACTCGTCTAACCTCAGTACAACTCAAGTGGCCGCCAGAGCCTTCTTCTCGGTTTGGCTGTAGCGCTCAGTTGTTGACAGGGATCTTGGCGCAAAGGCGACCTGTCGTCGCACTCTTGTTGGTTGAGTGCGTTCCAGCACCGCGCCCAGGCAGAAGGAGCTTGCATACGCCGAAACCACAGTTTGTCACGGAATTGGGGAAAAATCTTCAATAAATGAAAACAATAGTTCACTTCGAGGCCAACAAAAACAAAGTGCTAGGTTGGACCGATGGCAGCCGATAGGTCCACGACCGGTGCAATGTCAGGTAAGGAGGCGACGACACGTAGATGGTCAAAAACAAAACACAAATTTAATCAGACTTAACACCAAGGAGTCGGTGGAGCGCGGCAACAAAGTAGACACAACATAGAAATCACTCAGTGAACTATCCAAAAACCCTTGGGAGTACATGCACTAACATCCCGGTTAGAAACGCTAAAAACGTTCCCCAACAACCCTCGATAAGGCACACTTAAAATTGATCGAACACGTTGGCCCTAGCCAATCACAACATAAAATAAAAGTATTGTCTGTAGTCCAGACGCTGCCGAAGCCTGTCTTGGAGTCCCTGGTCGATAAAGAGGAGTCGTCACGGAGTCCGGAATCTTCACGCTTCTCGCAGGGACGACCCGACGTATTACACGCGCACGCACACGCACCGCAGTGCAAACACGCCCGAAGGCTAAAATAAACCTCAGGCCCGCAGGCAAACTAGGGTCACAGCCTTACGTACAGAAAATAAAATCGAGACTCAAAAACAAAGGCAATGACGAGCGGAGTCCCGGCCAGCTCCGGGCACTCCTAACCCCAAAGACGAACCACACCCCTTTTTCCCGCCAGTCCACGTCTTTATATTGAGACTAGCAGCATTTTCAGGGCTCGTAATCTGACCAATCAGCAATGAGCTTCTTAGCGCCCATCGCCGCTCTTTGTTTTAGCAAAGCAACTAAAAATACAAAAGTACAGCACCGAGAAACAATCCGCGAGAGACTTTGCCCGTCTGCGCGGCGGTGAACGCAATTCAAGATGCCTGGCAAAGCAACTAAGTACAAAAGTACAGTACCGAGAAACAATCCGCGAGAGAGTTTGCCCGTCTGCGCGGCGGTGAACGCGATTCGAGATGCCTGGTTGTGAGCACTGCCCTCGGTCGACAAGCAAAATTAAAATAAAAAAAAATACAACAAACCAATGTTGTCGGTCGGCTTCGACTTTCGAAGAATGTAGGCGCCATCCGGTGCTCCCATATCCTCTCTCACCTGGGGAGAGGGTTCTTCCGCCCGGTTTCATAAACAGCCGCATGGGAAAGGACAAGACCGAAAATTGACAGCATGCATCTTGCACCGCTGGCGCGCCCGAGAGCTCCCACACAAAGCTTACAAGAAAACCCCGCGATTCGTGACAGCGTTCCAGCACCGCGCCCAGGCAGAAGGAGCTTGCATACGCCGAAACCACAGTAGGGTGAGCTGGGCTTTGCCATACAGCGGTCGGACGTCAGCAGCTTCTTCAGGGTATCGAAGGCAACTTCCTGTTCGTACGACCAGGTCTGCCCCGTGTTCTTGTTGAGCAGAGCCCTGATCGGCGCTGCCGCCTGGGCCTCGTTTGAAGGAAGCGGGCGAAGTGATTCAACATGCCTAGAAGTAGCCGTACTCCAGTGACATCCGTCGGTGGGCCCATGTTTTGCACGGCGGACAGCTTGCAGGAATCGGACCTCATCCCTTCAGCTTAGGCAACGACACCGAGGAATGACACTTGGAACACTCCAAAACTGCATTTCTCCCTGTTGAGGGTGACACCGGCCTGGAAGAGACGCAACACCACCTGCAACAGGCGTTGGTCATGTTGTTTCTTCGTTCCGCCGTAGACTAGAATGTCATCGATCATGTTGAAAGTTCCGTCTAGGCCCTCCAAGATCCACGCCACCTGTCACTGTAAAAACTCGGGGGCTGACGCGATGCCAAATGGGAGTCAGCAAAAGCAATAACACACAAACGGCGTAATGAACGTCGTAAGCTCATGAGAGTTCTCGCAAAGTTTGACCTGATAGAAGCTTGAGTTGGCATCCAGCTTCCAGAAGACTGCCGCATCGCCCAGAAGTCCCAGGACTTGATCGACGGTGGGGAGCAAATGACGTTCTCTTGGGACAACTTGACTCAGTTTTCTAAGGTCAACACAAAAGCGGTAGCCTTCCGACAACTTTGGTACCACTACCAGTTCAGCGCCCTAATGTATGGGGTTGGTGACATGCCGAGTGGCTTCATCTTGCTCCAGTTTGGCCAGCTCCGTTCGCAGAACCTCGTGCAGCGGTATCGTTATCCCGCGTAGGTCAATAGAGAGTTTTAGGGAACCGGAACAAAATGCGATCGATAAACAAAAACGATCGATACCTTGGATCGGGCGTGTGGACCGATCGTGTGCCCTGAAA